CTCTTGCTTCCCTGATTTCAGCAAAAAAGTCCTAGCACATTAGAAAACTGAGGAAATGCAAAGTGAGGGCCCATGAAGCTGAAGAATCTTCTTTTCACAGCAGCTACCTCACTTAATATTAACGCACACTTACAGGAAAGATTGTCTGGCGCTCATCCTGAAAACTAGATGTTCAAATCTGTTTCCTCCACTTCATGGCCTTTAGGGTTTCTTCCCACCGTGGCCTTCATTACCGAGCAACGCTCCATAGCCCTTCTCTAGCACTAAAGAGATATTCCTTACAACTCACAGCCAGTGAGAATGGAACCCATGTCTGACGTGTCTCAGCCATGTCTTACTGGTGGACACAACACAGACTTTTAGAAGGAATACGACAAATCTCTGAGCTATGTTGTGAGTGTACTTCCATTTTTGCAGGAGGCATAGATGACTGGGCATCACGGGAAGTTAATCAGAAATGAAAAATACCCCAGTCTTTTCCCAAAGCTGTAACTGAAGTGGGATCTACAAGGATGATGAGGGGACTGGAGCATCTCCCCTACGAGGAGAGGTTGAGGGAGCTGGGCTTGTTCAGCCTGAAAAAGAGAAGGCTGCGAGGGGACCTTATAAATGCCTACAAAGATCTGCTGGGTGGGGGTCAGGAGGATGGGGCCAAGCTCTTTTCAGTGGTGCCCAGTGACAGGACAAGGGGCAATGGGCACAAACTGAGGCACAGGAAGTTCCGTCCGAACATGAGGAGGAACTTCTTCTCTCTGAGGGTGACGGAGCACTGGAACAGGCTGCCCAGGGAGGTTGTGGAGTCTCCTTCTCTGGAGATATTCAAGACCCGCCTGGACAAGGTCCTGTGCAGCCTGCTGTAGGTGACCCTGCTTCGGCGGGGGGGTTGGACTAGATGACCCACAGAGGTCCCTTCCAACCCCTACTATTCTGTGATTCTGTGATTCTGATCTACTTTACACAAAATAGCCAGATGCCATGAATTTATCTGTTGGGAAGGGGAATAATCATTCATCTCTCAAAATCCTGAAGATTGGACTCCCTTTTGGAAGTCATTCAGCAGCAAAATGCAGTACAATGCATGCAGCACAAGGATGCTCGGTGACACTTAAGGCCCTAAAACAGAAAAGACAGCAGGCTAGATCACATGCATATTCCTTTTGGGACTTAAACTTCATGGAAATCTGCATCCAGTTCTGGGCTCCCCAGTTCCAAGAAAGATGAGGAGCTACTTGAGAGAGCCCAGCGGAGGGCTACGAGGATGATGAGGGGACTGGAGCATCTGTCCTATGAGGAGAGGCTGAGGGAGCTGGGCTTGTTCAGCCTGGAGAAGAGAAGGCTGCGAGGGGACCTAATAAATGCTTATAAATATCTGCAGGGTGGGGTCAGGAGGATGGGGCCAGATTCTTTACAGTGGTGCCCAGCGACAGGACAAGGGGCAATGGGCACAAACTGAAGCAGAGGAAGTTCTGTCTGAACATGAGGAAGAACTTCTTCCCTCTGAGGGTGATGGAGCACTGGCCCAGGCTGCCCAGAGAGGTTGTGGAGTCTCCTTCTCTGGAGATATTCAAGACCCGCCTGGACAAGGTCCTGTGCAGCCTGCTGTAGGTGACCCTGCTTCGGCGGGGGGGGGGGGGTGGGTTGGACTGGGTGATCCACAGAGGTTCTTTCCAATCCCTACCATTGTGTGATTCTGTGAATTACCAAGACAATCCTCTGATAACTGCAGCAGGGAACAAGGGAACCTCTGAAACTCCATAATCAAGTTTTCCTCACAAAGGGATATAAAAACTACTAATTACAGAACCACATAGCACTTTATTTGACTGCTGCCATGGTCAACGCCAGGTAAGTAGAGAGAAATACTGGAACGTCTACTCAGGCAAATGCCCAGGCCTTCACTGCTAATGTACAGGCTGCAGTGAGCAGGAGTGCGTGAGATCCCTAGAGACACCACACCAGGTCACACAGCAGCCAGCACCCCAAACACAGACCACTTCTTCCTCTGATCTCTGTCCAGCACTGCAGTGACATCTATTCCCTCCATACTGCAATTAATCCTTCCTCAAGTGCATCTCAATCCTGCAGGTTTAATCACATTTTTAAATACTTTGAAGACAGGCAAGTACGGCGTGTGGCTGGCTCTCTGGTTAAGCAGTTATCCCACAAGGTCCACTTTTGCCCCACACAGGAAAGCAGATGTGTAGAGGCCGGCTGGTTGACCTGCTGGGGACGTGGGCACGCGCTGCTGAGCACTTCTTCCCACCTGGGTTACACAGCACTTCAGAGTTGGGGGAGAGTGAACACAGGAGCAGTTTCTGGCCTTACAAAGCAGCAAGAGACAAACGACAACGTTAATTAAACAACTATTTGAGCCAGGGCAATTTTGTTTTGCTCTTGCACAGCTCCTGATGCTTAATTTGGCCTACAAACTAGCGCGATGCAAATACCAAACCATACTTCTCCACGCACTCTCAAGTCATTAGAAGCATTTGCTCCTTCGGAGTAGCTAGGTTCTTACCTCCAGAAGCTTGTCCCCAACACGAACCCCGGCACGAGCTGCAGGACCCTCTTCTGACACGCGGGAGATAAAGATGCCCTGGAAACAAAACTACTTGTTAGAAGCAGTAGAGCCCATTCCTCAACCCTTTAAAGCGTAGAGAGACCACTCCACCCCATTCACCTTAAGGAAAAATACCTCACCAATCCCACACCCTGGATGTGGGCACAGGACGGCCACATCACCCCATTCAAGAGCTGATAGATAGGGGAAAGAAATCCCACTGCAGGGCTACCCCACAGGTGACAAAGGGGAACAGGGAATGACACTTTAATCCTTTTCCAGTGGGACGAGAACACGATGCAGCTGATGCTGCCACACGCGTGGAATACAACCCCACACTCTTTGCCTGTGAGTCCCGTGCATCAGGACACGGGTGGGAAAGAAAGAGCTGTTCTCGCTGCGGCTCTCTGCGGTCAGCAGCAGGAAGGTCCAACAAGTTGTGCTCCAGAGGCAAGAGCCTGCTCAGCCCTGCCAACCTCCTGCTTTGGGGCTGGTCGAGGGCTGCTCCCACCTTGCTCTGAAAGCCCAGCCCAGCCACAAAGCTGACACACATGGACACCCAGCCTCCAGCTGCAGAAAGCTAGTCCCTGAAAGTGGGTGCTTCAATAATTACACAGTCCGGGGTCTTACCTCATCATCACCCTTATAGGGGGTGGAGCCCTTGCCCCCTGCGATGCTGATGCCCAGCCCCCCCGTCTGCCGCACGATAGTCAGTGTCAACTGGAAGCAGAATGGACACAGGTTACAGGTCAGTATCGACCAGGACAACACCCAAAACATCTTGAAGAGCAAGGGATAACTACGTCAAGAACAAGCGCCACAGTATAAACTTTATCTGCTCACATATTTGTGTAACCTGTGGTATCCATGCCTCAAAGGCACCAAAGTCACAATACACTTAAACAAACAAATCCTTTTTCACAGTTGAGGCCTGAACCTTATCTCAAGACCAAGAGTCAGTTTGCCTGTAATGAACACATCGGAACGAGATGTTCACCACAAAGGAAACTGAGCAGCAGTGAGATGGGACTGGACAAAGAAGCAGGGACAGCGTTCACATCACAGCCCAGCTTTGCCACGTGGCTCCCTTCGGGGTGTAATTCCATACAACTACTGGGAGATTAAGGGTCACCCCAACGTAGCATGCATTAACAAGAATGGCACCTCTTCCAGAATATCCTGGACAGATACAGATCCAGAAAAGCCATCTGCTTTGTCCAGCTGGCTCCTTCCTCTTCTCCCCTCTGCACAGGCAGGCTCAGGATTGTACCTGTGTGATCCAGAAGTCACTTCTCCTACTTATCTCCCACCTCTATGTACCAAATTATGCCCACTTCCAATAGCAAAACTTTTGGTCAAACTTGGACTGAAATTGCTTATATTCAGGACATCAGCACAAACTGCTCACATTGCCCCAGTCATGAGAAGGAAGACAGGGAGCATGCGGTAGGGTACAGAGGTAGGAATGGGACAGAGAGGACTCTCTCAGGGATCTGTCAGGGCCAAGGACCAAGGAGCTGGTGAGATAAGTGACAGAAATGTACACCGAGTCCTGGAGAGAACCAAATTTGCTGTCCTCCAGATGTCACTTCTCTGGAAACAAAGTCCAGAACGGAGAGCGGCTGCTGCAGAGGTGTCTAGCTTCAACATCAAGTCCACTTGGCCTAGGCTGGGCCACAGTGTGGGCAGCAAAAGAAGCAGGAGACTTGCTTTCCTTAACCCCTTCCTTTAAATCCTTCTTCACTCTCTACACTGACAGAAGCGACACCCTGTGTGGCTTCACAATCTGCTAAGTTTAAAACAAAAACAAAACCAAAAAAACCACCACAGGAAATGCAGAACTAAAATGAGTTTCCTCGCCATTTCCTTCAGTGCCCAGTCAACAGCGTAGCAGAAAGCTGCTGGGACCTTCACAAGGAAATCCCCGATTCTCGACGGACAGTAAGTACATCGTCTCTGGTGCAAGAGCTAGAGACTGAGTAAAATCCAAGTAATGAAAGACAGGGATTATTCAGGTGACACAGAGAAGTGTGATAGTCATGAGATAGCACCGCATGTCATTGATAGCCCACACTAAAACCAGTTACAGATTAGACTAACGCTTCTTGCGTGAAGAATTCTATTAGGATCTAACTACAAATACGACTTCTTTTCTTCCATTCTCACTGGATTTTAGTAATGCTCTAAAGACTTCTATCTACATTCAACACAAAAACTTCTAAAGACAATGGAAAACTAGGTCTCCAGGCAAGGACTAGAGAGTATTCTAGTAACAAGATCCAGGTATTTCCAAGGAAGATAGCTGATGGCTTTGCTCAGTGCCTGAAACAACAGGGCACAATTTGCTATTTCACCCCTTAAAGAAAGTCACCTTCAGTTGCACTGCAAGTTGATTGCGTAAACTAACTGAAAGATCAACAACAAATTTATCACTGATGGCACCAAAGCACAAGCCAAGGAAGCAGCTATGTCTCCATCACCCTCAGTCCCACCTACGTCTCTCTCTGTACGTCTCCACGGAACACAAACAAACCAAGACTGATTCCATCTCAACCTATTTTTAATACAGCTGCCTTTTAACAGATTCACTTGATCTTGTGAGATTTTCCAACTTGCAGCGAGTAAACATGCACCTTTCTGGAGCAACCAGAAACGCTGCACACACGGGCAGGCTTACTTCTCAGTAGCAGCCACCGATCTGCGCGTAGGCCAACAGACTTGAATCAGTGTTGAGCGCTGTGCCTCGCAGCTGCCAGCTAAGGATTTCTGAGACTGGCTCTTGCAGGGGCACAGCAGACGCAGAGAGCAAGCGAGACATTCGCAGGACTCAACTGCCAAAGCACGGAGCTGTTGTACTTCACAGCCTGCTGAAAGACCACGTTATTCCTCCAGACATACCTACGGGAGTGGGGGTTTAAGGGCTTTATTTCCAGAAGGCAGCAAGTTTCCACGTGCACAGGCATCTTTCTACAACTTGCAATATATCTGGAGGCATCTAAGTGTCTAATCCCTGCATTTGCGTCACTTGAAACTTCGAATGAGACTGGATTGTCAACAACGACGCAGAAAACACAAACATGCGATAAACGCTTCTGATTTGTATTTGGACAGCAGCATGATGATGTACACGCCTCACGTGAAGCTGGTGAACCACACTTCACTCCCAACAGCAGCTGAAGAATCCATTTAATATCATCAGTAAGGAATAATGACTTTAAAAGTCAAAAGGACTGGATAACTTGTGCCCAAGAGTCCTAACAACTGACTAAGATCTCCGATACGCTTATAGTGGATTCACAAAATTCTGGAATCTTGATGCCCTGAAATGGCATTTACACTGTGCTGTTAGATGAAGAGATTACAAAGGATGATGCCTGTAACCCTTAGCATGTCACCCTAGCACCAATTCCAGAAAAGTAACCGAAGAACATACATGTCTCTTACGAGGCACACAAAAACAGCACTCCTGCCAAACAGCTGAATTTTATGAAAAGTAGGGCTGAAAAAATGAACACACGTCTATTTCAGTCTTTGACAAGACTCCAAACCTGGCTATTAAAGATTTAACAAGCAGATTTTTGTAAAACATTAAACTTGTTATCACAAGACATTCTTACTGACGCCGTATGATGCTGCTTTTAGGTGTACATTATACAAGGTAAGAGCCAGCAGAGGCCAAGCACCAGTCGTCAGTGAAGAACCGAGAATTACAGCGCTGCCAAGAACTGCGTCAGGCCTGATCTTCTCCCAAACCACTGACAGTAAAAACGTTAATAGCTCCACAGGAGGGGAGGCTAGGAGTCTTCAAATACGGGAGGGGGAGGGATAGACATTTTTTTAATCTTTTCACACCGCTAACAACTTCATAGGAAATTATTATTCCATGTTTGCAACAACAAAGGAATTGGGGATACCCAATGAAATTTCAGCAGCAAGATTAAAGAAATGCTTTTTAATACAAAGCACAAGTAAGTTACATTATTTATTACTACTAAGTACTAAGGAACTAAAATGTGTAAAAGGGACCGGAGACATCAGACAGTTATACAGACAGCAGCTCCACTGTGTCCAGTACAATAGTATGAACAGTCCAGAAATCCTAAATTACAGATTGCAAGGACCTGGGCAAACACCAGTGCCAGGATCACCGAGTCTCGCTAAGGTCTATGCTTCCTAAAGCCCAAAGAAAGCCCCTCACACCCACCATTAGAGACATCTTTCCACAGACATCACACTCAACTCTGTATGCCCTTTTTCCAGGAACACCTTCAACAAAACAGAGGGTACTTATATAGCACATAAATGTAAGAGACACTGGAGTTCAGGAGCCAGAGGCACTGACTCACCAGGAAAGATTAGAAGAGCTAAATCTGTCTGGCTTCAGTAAGCAACAACTCGTGAGGACAAGGGGACAGGCCGAAAATATCAGTGATCAAATGGAAGGTGGGAGATTACTGCATGAGCTGTTGAGAACTATTAAAAACGAACAACAGAAAAAGGAACATGAAGGAAAGATCCTGCCCTGGCAGAGGAGCAGCCTACTGGGTATGCGTTGAAGACTTTCTGGCTCTGATGTTTTTCCTTCCGCCATTCGGATGGTTTTGAAGTTACCAAGGGAATGGGCATTTACAAGGCAGAGATGACAGGGTACAGATCAGAGGAGTCAAGTACTTTACTGCCTTCTTACTAAACACCTCTCCACCCAGTTTAGCACTAACCAGAGTGCCAAACAAGAGAAGCTTCCAAATTTCAGTGACTGACAGCAGCATTAAGAGCAGACAGGACAGGCAGCCTGCAGTGCTAAACACTCTGGTGCAGTCCTGCAGATCCCCTTCCCTACAGACATGCCAAGACAGTGAACAATGCTTCATTAAGTGAGGATGAAGAAAGGATGCATTTTTCTCAAATATTAAATACGATGACTTTTGAGCCATAAATAAACAACTAGGTTCATACAGATATGATTAATCTTGATATAAATACATATAGATATGAATATGTAGCTATCATATAGATATGAATCACATATCACTATGTATATGAATATTCATATCTATATATGTGTGTCTATATAGAGACACGATTTCATCTTGATACAAGGAAAAATGTTTACAGTGAGAACAACCATTCACTGGAACAAACTCCCCAGGGACGTAGCAGAGGTTTTCAAGGTGCGATTGGTCAGGGTGCCAAGTAATCTCACCCAGGCTCCCTTTCCCACAAAAGGCTGGGCCTTTCAAGGTCCCTTCCAGCCTGGGCTGTTTTATGATTCTATTATTAGTTCTTTCATTAAGTCCAGGAATAGGGATTTAAGAAGCTCGTACTTCCCCCTCATCACGATGGGCACCCAGGTTTGCCACAGGCATGGAAACGCCAACAGCAAAAGAGGCGAACCTGCAAGGAACTGGGTGGCTACATCACAGAACGCAACAGGACAGAATCCCTCTGGAAATGAAAACATTCAACTTCTTAGACAAAGAGGAACAAAATGAATATTGGAGAAAGCTACCAAGCCTTGAATCATTCCCCAGACTGGGAAACACGACAAAAACCTAGACATGAAGTTCTGCGGATTCAGCTGGAATGGGCGACACTGAAACATTATATTTCTTCCTCTCTTCAGCAGCAGAGAAATTTTATTCCTGTTCTTACTGATTTTTTTAATGTAGTAAAAACATTGGTGTAGGCATTCATTTTGCATCATTCTGACTATAATATTT